AACAACAACAACAACAACAACAACATGTTCTTCTATTTTCTCTTAACTAGACACAGCGGGGCAGAAATGTTGTTTGAGGGACGTTATAGACTATGGCTAGAAGAGACATGAATAGATTTACGACACTACAGTGATGAACATTTGAGGTGCTACAAAGAAAGTTCTATGAGCATTTGGCTACATGTTTTTGTGTGACTATATGTCCCTCATTCCATCTACCTTCCTTAACTGGATTTTTTTTTTTCAGTAAGGAACAATTGTTCTCTCTCTTTAATCTACGTTCAATCATTTAACCTGTCTTTAAAGCAGGTCTGGATGTGTTCAAACTGCCAAAGCAGAGTGCTTAACTACTTGAGCCATAGTAATAGTAATGGAAAGGAGCTCTGGTAGCAGAGAGGTTACAAGTCGGGCTGTTAACTCGAGGTCAGCAGTTTGCGACTACTAGCCATTCTGAGTGAGAAAGACGAGGCTTTCTGCTCCTGTAAAGATTTACAGCCTCGGAAACCCTACGCAGGGTCGCTATAAGTTGGAACCAACTCCTCGGCACACCTCCACCACCACCACCGATAGTAACTAAACAGTAGAAGTAATGATTGTGGCGATGTTGGTTGTAAATATCTCTCAGTCTTAGCTTTCTTTTATTTATGATGTCCTTTTTTGTACATACATGCTTTTAAGGTTGACATGGTCAAACATATTAATCTTACCTTTTGATATTTACTTTTATATAAAATCTCATTTATTGTAAGATCATAAGAACACATTTATAGTTTAGAAATCAATTTACTACTTTTTTCATTTTATAGTTAAGATTTTGAACTTTTTAGAATTCATATTTTGCAGTTGTGAGGTATAGATCTAACCTTAATTTTTTTTTCCATACAAAGAATCAGTTGTTCCAACCATATTTGTTGATTGTCCATTCTTGTTGCATAATCCCATTAACATTGTCCATGTGAGCTAGGATCTATGTAAGGTAGTGTACATGCCTTTCCTTCACTATTTATGCCATCAATCCTACAAGAGAGGGACTAGCATTATCCTCATTTAAAAAATAATAGACTTTTAAACAAAAACAGGGGAGTAGTTAATCTTACAGTCCAAAAACAGAGGACCCTAGGACCATCTAGGGAGAAGAGCATAAGCGGAATGCGGGACATTATCCAGAGAAGCATCAACACCAAAGATGGGGACATGGAGAGAGGGCACAGTTATGGATTTTAGATTCATTGGAGGAGGAGGCAGACTTGCAGAATATGCCCTTTGGTGGAGTAAATTATTATATATGCCTGAATTAAAAAATATATATATATATATCTAAAATGAATAGAGAGAAATACTGTTAACTGATGGTACATGGAGGGGATTATAATCATTGCAATGTAACAAAGCATATGATTTGTTGAATGTAAAACTGATGATCTGCCCCGTAAACTTTCACTCAATTCACAATAAAAACTTAGTAATAATAGACTTTTAAAGAGCAATGTTAGGTTTACAGACAAATTGTGTAGGAAGAACAGAGGTCCCCTCCCCTGCATGCTGCCTCTCCACTTATTAACATCTGGTATTAGTGTGGTACACTTGTTACAATTGATATTGAGCCAATATCAGTACATTATTATGGGTGCATGTTAGGGTTACACTAGGGCTTACTATTTGTGTCATATAGTGAGTGCTATGGGTTTTGACAAATGTGCAAAGTCACGTACCCACCATTACAATGTCATGGAAAATCATTTCACTGACTCTAAAATGCCCTGTGCTCCACCAATTCATCTCTCTCCACTCCTGATGAAGATCTTTTCATTGTTGCTATAACTTTGTTGTTTCCAGAATGTCCTATAGTTGAAATCATACTTAGCCCCATTTTTCAGATAGGGAAACAGGCTCAAAAAAACAGTTTCAGATAGGGTAACTCACTCAAGGTCACATGTAGCTAGCTCGTCATGCAGGCAGAATTCAAACTCAGAGTATATAAAAAGAGCTAGAGATGGGAATCCCATGACCCTTGGATATTCCAAAAGGAAATGGAGTTGGGGACAGAGCTAGGGAACACCAACATTTTGAGCTGGATTTCTCAGCTGTGGCACCATTGGCGTTTGGGATGAGAGGACTCTTTGGCTATGTGTGTGAACTATTGTGTTCTATGACTTCTGCTCATGTCATACCTGTACAACTTGTCATCCTGCACCCTTCCCACTCCCAGCCTTGATAATGAAATATGTCTCCAGACATTGTTAAAGGTCCCCTGGGGGGCAAAATTATCCCCAGTTAAGAACCTGAGTTAAAACTATTTTTCAGTGGAGTCGGTTCTGACTCATAGCAACACTGACACTAATGATGATTAATAATTATATAAGTAATAATTCATTGTAACTACTGATACAATTATTAATCATCATTAATGTGAACGATATTGACACTAATTATAAATTGTGATTTATATAATATGCATTCTTGGGTGGTTGTTTCTTTGTAGCTAAAGGTCAGAAGGTTCTACTGTTCCCTTTAAGTGACATCGTCTCATTCTTCTGCTTGTCCAGCCCACAGATCCGCCCTCTGCCTGCTTCATCCTGGAAACAGGCAGAACTCCATGCTGCATGCTGTGTACATATTTCTCACAGTAAGCACACAGAAACCCTTGAGCAAGGGTGGGAGGGTCAGGGGCTGGGGGGTGGCTCTTCTTTTCATTTCAAAATATTTTCCTTTACCGTTACTTGGATAATGAATAAAATAGAGAATGAAAGCCCTGCTGATTTAAAAAGATGCTCAGATCCAGATGTGCTGGGGGCGAGGTATCCTGCATCATTTATGACGTGCACTGGGTTGTAAACACATCTGATGTCACCAGCCTCCAGCCCCACCACCTGTGAATGAAGAATCAGCCCACGAACACCAGGCCTTCTCAGGCACGGGAACATCCAGGGTCCTCAAAGATACAATCTGTTTTCAAATTCCAAAATGTTTACAGGATTCAGGGTCACTTAGAGTGCTGCCTTTAGCCTGGCCAGTTGGAATCTTGCATTTTGAAGTCTAAAACTATAATATAAAAATGATCATGCTATACAGTAGCAATGAACTTTGAACTTTGAAAACATGCTGAGTGTAATAAGTCCATTACAAAAGGACATATATTATATGAACTCCCTTATATGAAATATGTAAACAAGGCAAATGTTTATTCGTGGTTACTGCGGGGTGAGAAGGGTTTCTAAGTGGCACTAATGGTTTGCTTTCATCTGGTGACACAATGGTTATGTGCCTGGCTACTAGCAGGTAGGTTGTTGGTAGCTTGTACCCTCCTGGAAGTGTCAAGAAAGCCACACCAGGCAATTTGCTTTGGAAAAGTCACAGCCTTGAAAACCCTTTGGAACACTTCTACCCTGCACATATGAGGTTGCTGTGAGTCAAAATTGATACTCTGGCAACTAACAACAACAACTAAACAACTAAACTAAAGTTTGGTGGTTCTGATTCATCCGGTGGAGGAAAAGTCTCGCGATCTGCTTCTGTAAAGAATGTTGTTGTTGTTAAGTGTTGTCGAGTCCGTTCCGAGTCATGACGATCCTGTACAGGGTTTCCGAGGAGCAGCCTGTGAGTTTGTATTGCCACCTTGCAGTTCAAATCAACTTCGTGGTCCAGTGCTTATCCTACAGCACCACACCAGGACCCCTGTGTGAAGATTACAGCCAAGAAAATGCTGTGGAGCAGTTCTGCTCTGTACCACATGAGCCGGAAGTTCAATGGTAACCAGTTTTCAATGAGAGGGGCAAGCGGGAGTGGGGGCAGGGAGTCATTGTTTACACAGCAGTGAGGTTTTGTTTATGGTGATGGGAAATTTGACAGTTGATCCTGATGATGGTTGCATAACATGGTTAATGTCATTAAACCATACACACGAAAAATCTTGAATTGGCAAATACTGTCTTTTATCCATCTTTGCATCAACAGCAATAATGATAATTAAAATGAGCAGACAATGAATATATTCAGTATGATTTGAGTGGGTATATAAGTCTTCTAGCTCTTGCTCTGTTAACAGCCATCTGTACTTGGAGGACCCCCATTCAGCCTGACCTAGATCCATGAAGACCCTCTATAGGCTTCTGGCTAGCCACTTGTCTCCCTGCTGCCACAGGACTTCACAGGTCTTTTCATAGCAGCCTGATGTCCAGAGACTTTACCCTACCGTCCACGCTGGTGTCCCAGGATCCTGCTGCCTCAGTTTCTTGGCCAGCCCATACTGGTCACTCTCCAGTACCTTGCTCTTCCTTCTGCTGGATTCCCTCAGCTCTGAGCTCTCTCCAAGGCTAAGGCTGGGATCGCCAACCAACCTGAGGGCTCCCCAAAGGTAGAGGTCTCCTTTCTCTCTTCTGGAGTCCTCTCATCTGGCGGGGGTGGGGTAGGGGGGTGTCTCTCTACTCTGTTGGCATTAGTTCAGTGGTAGAAGAGCTGGGTTTGATTCCCAGGCAATACACTCTATATGCAGCCATCACCGGTCTGTCGGTAAAGGTACACAAGCTGTAACGATGTACAGACTGAACAGACAAGGAAGAAAAGCCTGGCTATCTATTGCTGAAAATCAACCAATGAAAACCCACCGGATCATAAAGGGATGATGCAGGACTGAGCAGCATGGTTACGAATAATGACCAACTGGGGAATGCTTGCCATTAGGACAAACATAGGCTGGCTTGCAGACAAGGTAGAAGTGGGTGGAGGTCCCAGCCCCTCCCTGCTGGGGATGTTTCAGCCCCAGAGCCAGGACTGAGTTGGAGGAGGTGCCTTGCAACCCTGGTGAATATTCAGCCAGTTCTGTCCCCTTTGCTGGCTCCTGCCTATGCAAACAGCCTCCTAGGAAGGCAGGCTGAGGGTGGCTGCAGAAGGGGACAGACCTAGGAGAATAAGTCAGGCGGAGGTTCCCTGGGCCATCGGAGGTGCTGCTGAGTGCACTATGGACCGGCGGACGTGGGGCATTCTCCTCCTCTGCTTGTGGAGTCTCTTACCTACTGTGAGTAGCTGCCTCAGACCCTCCTGTCTCTCCCACAGAGCTCTGGATCAGGGTGCTCCACGACAAGATGGGAGTTCAGCTGGAGTCTGCTGAGAAGCCCTCTGCCCTTGTCTTGAATAGGAGCCCCTGCTACTCAGGTTCAGGCCCTGGGTTGGAAAATTCCAGACTTTTGGTGTCATCTCTGGGGGGATGTTCTTGGTGCTGAGCAGAGAGCACCTCCCTGCTCCTTCCCCTCAGAGCCTGTCTGTGCCCTCTGGGGGCCACTCGGACCTGTCTGCCCCAAGGCATGCCTCAGAATTGGAGAAAGAAATTCAGCCCCAATTTCTCACATCCCAAGCGTCCTCTTCCTCTCACCTTTGAGTTGAATCCAGCTCATGGTGACCTTATGTGTGTCAGATTAGAACTGTACTCTATAGGGTGGCAGCAGAAGGGGACAGAGAGTGGTTATTATTGTTAAGAGCTGTCGAGCCAGTTCGGACTCATAACGACCCTGTATAGGGTTTCCGAGGAGCGGCTGGTGAGTTTGAATGGCTGGCCTTGTGGTTCAGACCGACTTTGAAGTCCAGTGCATTAACTCACAGCGCCACACTAGAACTCCCCATAGGGTTTATAGTGACTGATTTTTCAGAAATAGATCTCCAGGTGTTTCTTCCAATGCACCTCTGGCGTACCTAGACCTCCCAGCTTTCAGTTAGTAGCTGTGTGTTAACTCTTCACACAACCTGGGGACTCTGTCTCTCAGCTATGCATCTCCAAGTGTCACAAACACACTACCTTCTACTAAGATTTCCAGGGCCTCTGTCTCCCCATGATTCCTTGAACCACACTCCAATTCTGATGTTTCTTTTATGAGTGTGGCCAGCACTGGCCTTGGACCAGGAACTGAGTAGCATTTGGAGAGCCAGCTGCTCCCCTCTGTCATTTGGGGGACTCTTCCTCTCACAATATACCTCTTAGAAGCCTTTGGTGGCCAAATGTTGCTCTGAGGTGTAGAATGCTAGAGGACAGTTCCAAGGACAGAGGGATGGGCTGCAATTATCAAGTGGACATTGCACAAGGCAGCGGGGACCAGGAGGGGAGCCACAGGAGCTGAGTGAGTAGCCTCAGCTCTCAGGATCCCCTCAGAACCCCATGGACCGAGACCTCCTCTTCCGCTGTTGCCCCAGCTCTATGCCTTATTGGGAGAGGCTGTCATCCTTAGCCCCTGTGCTGCAACTGATCCCATGGACACAGGCTTGAACTCTGCCTGTCTCCATGAAACTTGCTGTGTAGCCCAGGGCAAGTTCCTCACCCTTCCCAAGCTCCTCTTGTGCCTTTTGTAAAGTGGGGCAACTCACAGTGTTGCTGTGCCTCGAGTGAGAGCAGTTTGTCCAAGACTGGGCATGGGAACAATGCATGGACCTTCTCTACCCTCTTCATAGCGTAAGGAGTCCCCCCATCCTTCTCATCTGGTGGTCATTCGGCAGTCAAAGCCAGTACTTCCTGATTCAGGATCCAGCACCACAGGTGAGGCCAGTGCCCAGGGAGATGGAGTCTGCCCTCAGGAGACAGTGAATTCAGTATGAGAGCCGAGGTGGTGTGGGAGTCACCTTTGGGTCAGTTCTGAAGTGGGTCTCCTTCCTAGTCCCATGGTGCCCTACGATGGTTTCATGCCCTGGGTCATTCACTGGGCTTCCCTGAGGAAGTATGGGGGCTGTCTCTCCATCTTCTTGGTGGGGCCTGTCATTGATACCTTAGTCTCTCTGGCCTCAGTGGCTCTTCAAACAGGCTCTCATATGTCCCAAGAAGGGCTGGGACTAAACAGATAGTAGGCAAAAAGGAAGAATGGGTAGACACAGCAGCTCTCCAAGTATCCCTGGGTTACGACTGGACTGCTGGATAAGAGCATTACAATTAGACTTTCCTGCCTTCCCACCTTCCTGCATTCCTGGATGTAGTATGCTGCAGGCAGATGAAACTGGGCCCCCCTTAGGTCTGGGGTCACTGAGTCTTGGGGAGAAACCACCCAAGCAGAGACTTGGAACCTGGGCAGTGATTGGCATGTGTAGCCCGAGGCCCCATAGAGCCACGCAGGAGATGGCGGACTTGAGCAGTTGAGTCCAAGCTGGGTTTTTGGCATCAGGTCAGGGACTGGAGTAGCCTCCCCTTCAGAGACAGGGATGGTAGAGGTGGCCACACTTGCTAGTCTGGGTCTCTTGATCCTCTCCTAGAACATTGGTCTGCATCAAGGTTTGTGGGTCCCTCCTGGGTGGTCACCCACTGTCCACTGTCCCCACACTGGTGTTCAATGTCCCCACTGTGATTCCAGTCCCTGTCTTATATCTCCTGTACTCTTCATGGGCTTCAACTAGACTGTTGTTACAGTTTTCGCTGAGTTGGCTTCGACTCAGGGTGACCCCATGTACAACTTAACAAGACGTTTCATGGTCCTGCTCCAATCTCATGAAAGTTGTTGTTGTTGTTGTTAAGTGCCGTCGAGTCGGTTCCGACCGATAGCCACCCTGTACAGGGTTTCCGAGATTTTTAAATTTTTACGGGAGCAGAAAGCCTCATCTTTCTCCCGTGGAGCAGCTGGTAGTTTTGAACTGCCAACCTTGCAGTTTGCAGCCCGATTCGTAACCACTACGCTACCAGAGCTTCTGTAGCCCCCTGTATTTTGAGTGTCTGCCAGCCTAGGGGACTCATTTTCTAGTAGTATGTTGGACAATATTGTGTTGTGATCCATAGGGCTTTGTTGGCTAATTTTTGTAAGTAGATCACCAGGCCTTTATTCCTAGTTTGTCTTAGTCTGGAAGTTCCACTGGGACTTGTCCGCCATGGATGATGACCTTGCAAACTATTGCACACTGCAGCAATTGTTATAGTAAAAGTGGAGTCCCAGAGAATTTTGAAGTGATGCACATGGAAGTTGTCCATACAGTTTTAATCTTTCTAAGTTTCTATTCACTTATCCATCCATCCATCCATCCATCCATCCATCCATCCATCCATCCATCCATCCATCCATTTATTAATCCGTCTCTCCATGTACCCATCCATCCATCCATGTATCCATCTATCTATCCATCCATCCATTCATTCATACATCCATTATCTATCCATCCATTCATCTCTCCATGTACCCATCCATCCATCCATCCTTCCATTCATGTATCTATCCATCCATTAATGCACCCATCTATCCATCCATCCATCCATCCATCCATCCATCCATCCATCCATATATCCATTCATCCATGTATCCAAATATCCATTCAACACATTTTATGCATGCTATGAGCCAGGCCATGTGATTAGGGCAGAGAATCAAATCAGGCTTTGTCCTGTGCTCAGGTCATTTGGACCAGAGAACCTTAAGAGAGCACCCGATAGGCTTGGCTCATCCTCTGACTCTTTGCTACAGGCACTGTTCCTCATGCATCCGGAGTGTGACCTCATCATGCAGTTGAGAGAGGACGAGCATGCATGCCTACAGGCAGCAGAGAGGATGCCCAACACCACCCTGGGTATGGGGCTGGGGATTAAAGTGGGGGCTGAAGGGTAGGAAGGGGCTTCTCTGAGATCCCTTGATCTCCTACAGTCTCCCAGTTCAGAATGCTGGATGACCTTGTTGTGGGTTGTGCCCTCTCTCTCTCTAGGCTGCCCAAGCACCTGGGATGGGCTGCTGTGCTGGCCAAAGGCAGGCTCTGGCGAGTGGGTCACCCTCCCCTGCCCAGATCTCTTCTCTCACTTCCTCTCAGAGCCAGGTGAGATGTCCTGGACATGGTGTTGGGGGAAGATGATCTCAGCTGGTCATGACAGAACATGGTGGATACATCCCTGGCTTGGGCGCAGGCCAATCTGGATCTAAACACCAGTCTCCCTTCTTCTGGTGTGTCCTTGGGCCAGCTTGTCAACTTTCTGACTTTCAACTCCTCTACTAACATGGGAATGAGAGCATCTACCACCCACAGCATGAAAATCAGTGAGCAGGAAATGTAGACACTGAATCGGTGTCTGGCATGGGGCAAATGTTCTCTGAGTATGAACAGAAGGGCTGGCTGCCCGGCTGGGGGATGGCAGGGCCTCTGTGTCTGATAGCTGCCTAGGATGGAACCACTGATCTGCCTCAGCCCCCTGAGTGTCTGAGGTGTTCAATCCCTTCAGGGGGTGAGGGGCTCCTTTGTCACCTTGCCCTTAGGTCCTTGCGGAACTCAACTTGTATCTTTCTGTTTCCTGTCAGCTCCGCAGCTTGTCTTCAAGGGAAGTGTTCTGCAGGAAAAGCTCTGTTCCCAAAAGGATCCTCTGAGCAGGTCCAACCAGGGTGCCCTGGTGAGAGGGGAGGAGTTATAATGCTGGACTCTGTTTCCCCACCCACTCGTCTCCTTTTTGAACATTTTATTGTGATTTGGATGAAAGTTAACAAAGCAAATTCATTTCCCTCCAACAGTCTATACACATTTTGTTTTGTGAAATTAGTTTTGTGATTGTAACAGAACGCTCCCTGCTTCCTCCTTGGGTTCCCTGTTTCCATTCACCCTTCTTTCCTGCCCATTCCTGCCTTTTGAGCTTTGTTTTTGGGCAAATGTTGTCCTTTTGGTCTTGTGTAGTTTATTATCCTGAGGAGTATGTTCCTCACAATTGTTATTTCTAAGCATGTCTATTTGGTTGATCTGTAAGATTGGATTCAGTTCCAGGTGTAAAGGGGGTCTAAGGACCAAGGTCTCGGAGGTGCCACCAGTTTCTGTCGGACCAATAAGTCTGTTTTTTTTTTTTTGAGTTTGCATTTTGTTCTACATTTTTCTGCCTCTGTCAAGGACCAATTGTGATGTGTACCAGAGCAATCAGTAATGGTACCTGGGCACCATCTAGTCCTTCTGGTCTCAGGATAGTGGAGGCTCTGTGTGCTTGGCTCATTAGTCCTTTTGACTAATTGTTTCCTTGAGTCTTTGACTTTCTCCACTCCTCTTTGTTGCAGATGGGAGGAGACCAATAGTTGCATCTTAGGCGGCTGCTCTCAGGCTTTTGAGACCTCAGTTACTACTCACTATAGAACGATGTAGCACATTTATGGACCATGTTATGCCAATTAATCTAGATGTCCCCTGAGACTATGCTCCTAAGCCCTAAAGCCCAATGACTCAGTCCCTCAAGGTGTTTAGCTGAGAAGTTTACCTACTTTGTTCCCTGTATGCTCTACACTATACCTGGATAGCTTTGCAGTAATACAAATACATATATAGAAAGATCTTCCACAAAACATATATATGCTCAAGGGTGTACTCCCATACTCCATCCAACTGTTCGTTTACATATCTACCGATGTATCTTGTTGTTGTTGTTAGGTGCCATCAAGTTGGTACCAATTTATAACAACCCTCTGCACAACAGAATGAAACACTGCCCCGGTCCTGTGCCAATCTCACAATTGTTGCCACATTTCAGCCCATTATTGATGCCACCACTGTGCCAATCCATCTTGTTGGGGGCCTTCTACTTTTTCTCTGACCCTCCACTTTACCAAACATATCTTTCTCCTGGTCCCTCCTAATTATATGTGCTAAGTATGAGAGACAAAATTTGACCATCCTGGCCTCCAAGGAGCACTCTGGCTATACTTCTTCCAACACAGATTAGTTTGTTCTTTTGGCAGCCCATGGTACGTTTAATATTCTCCTTCAGCACAACTCAAATGCAACAACTTTTCTATGGTCTTCTTTATTCACTGTCCAATTTTCCCATGCATATGAGGAGTCCTGGTATGGAGCTGTGGATTAATGCACCAGACTGCAAAGCTGTTTGAACTGCAAGGTCAGAGGTTCAAGCTCACCAGCTGCTCCTCGGAAACCCTATACAGGGTCGCTATGGGTCGGAACTGACTTGATGGCACTTCACAACAACAACAACAAATGAGGTTATTGAAAATACCATGGCTTAGATCAGGCTCACCTTAGTCCTCAAACTGACATCTTTGTTCTTCAACACTTTAAAGAGGTCGTCTGTAGCAGATTTGTCTAATGCAATACATCGTTCGATTTCTTGACTGATGCTTCTATGAGTATTGATGGTTGATTTGAGCAGAATGAAATCTTTGACAATTTCAATCTTTTCTCCATTTATGTGGATGTTGTTTATTACTCCAGAGGATTTTTGTTTTCTTTAAATTGAGGTGCCACCCATACCAAAGGCTGTGGGCTCCGATCTTCATCAGTAAGTGTTTTCGGTCTTCTTAATTTTCAGCAAGCAAGGCTGTATCATCTGCCTATCGCAGGTTGTTAATGAGTCTTCCTCAGTTTTCATGCCATGTTTTTCTTCATATAATCTAGCTTCTCAGATTATTTGCTCAGCACACAGATTGACTAAGTATGATGCAACAATACAACCTTGGCACACCTTTTCTAATTTTGAAACATTCGGTATTCTCTTGTTCTGTTAGAAAAACTGCCTCTTGGTCTATGTACAGGTTCCTCATGAGCACAAATGAGTGTTCCAGAATACTTATTCTCTGAAATGTCCATAGCTTGTCATAATCCACACAATTGAAAATCTCTGCATAGTCAATAAAGCACAGGTAAACATCTTTCTGGTATTCTCTGCTTTCAGTCAAGATTCATTTGACATCAGCAATGATATCTCACATCTATGTCCTCTTCTGAATCCATCTTGAACCTCTGGAACATCTTTGTCAATGTATGGTTGCAGCCATTTTTGAATCATCTTTAGCAAAATTTTACTTATATGAGATGTTAATGATATTATCTGGTGATTTCAGCATTCTTTGGATCACCTCTCTTTGGAAAAGGCACAAATATGGATCTTCCAGTTAGTTTGTCTTCCAAATTTCTTGTCATAGATGAGTGAGTGCCTCCAGTGCCGCATCAGTTTGTTAAAATATTACAATTTGTATTCCATTAATTTCCTGAGCCTTGTCATTTGCCAATGTCTTCAGTGTACCTTGAACTTCTTCCTTCAGGATCATTGGCTCTTGATCATTTGCTTCCTCTTGAAATGATTGAACATCGACAATATCTTTTTGGTACAGTGACTCTGTGCATTCCTTGCATCTTCTTTTTATGCTTCCTGCATCGTTCAATACTTTGCCCACAGAATCCTTCAATATTGTAGGTCGAGGTTTGAATTTTTTATTCAGTTCCCTCAGCTTGAGATGCTGTATGTGTTTTTCCCTTTTGACTTCCTACCTCCAGGTCTTTGCACATTTCATGATAATATTTGACTTTGTCTTCTTGAGCTGTCTTTTAAATTTTTCTATTCAACTCTTTTACCTCCTTATTTCTTCCATTTGCTGTAGTATCTCTATGCTGGAGAGCAAGTTTCAGATTCTCTTCTGACATCCATTTTGTATTTTCTTTCTTTCTTGTCTTTTTAATGACCTCTTGCTTTCTACTTGTCTGATGTTTTTTATATCATTCCACAACTCTTCTGGTCTTCGGTCTTTAGTGTTTAATGCATCAAATCTATTCTTCAGATGATCTCTAAATTCAGGTGGAGTATGTTCAAGGTCATATTTTGGTTCTTGTTTTAATTTTCTTCAGCTTCAGCTTTAACTTGCATATGAGCAATGATGGTCTATTTCGCAGTCTCTCCCTGTCCTTGTTTTGGCTGATGACATAGTGCTTTCCCACTGTTTCTTTACACAGATGTAATAAATTTGAGTTTTGTGTATCCCATCTGGTGAGGTCCAGGTGTATAGTCATCTTTTATATTGTTTTAAAAAAGGCATTTTCAGTGAAGAAATCATTGGTCTTGCAAATTTCTATCATGTGATTTCCAGCATTGTTTCTAACACCAAGACCATATTTTCCCACCACAGTTTTTCCAACCTTTGCATTCCAATCACCAGTAATGATCAATACATCTTGATTGCATGTATGATCGATTTCAGACTGGAGAAGTTGGAAGACTTCTTCAATTTCATCATCATTGGCTTTAGTGGTTGGTGTGTACATTTGAATAATAATGATATTAACTGGTCTTCCCTGTAGGCACATGGATATTATCCTATCACAGACAACATTTTACCTCATGACTGATCTTGATGTGTTCTTTTTGATGATAAATGCAATGCCATTCCTCTTCAATTTGTCATTCTCAGTGTAGTTAGCCATGTGATTGTCAGATTCAAATTGGCCTATACCAGTCCATTTCAGCTCACTAATGCCTAAGATATCAATGTTTTTGCTTTCATTTAATTTTTGACAATTTTCAATCTTCCTAGCTTCATACTTCATACATTCCATGTTTTGATTTTTAATGAATGTTTACAGCTATTTCTCTTCATTTTGAGTTGTGCCCCATCAGCAAATGCAGGTCCCAAAGGCTTTACTCCATTCACATCCACACGATCAACTCTACTTTGAGGAGGTAGCTCTTCCCTTGTTATATTTTGAGTGCCTTCCAACATGAGGGGCTTATCTTCTGACACTATATCTGACAACATTCTGGTGCTCTTTGTCATGTTTCAATATTCAATATCCTGGGGCTATCTGACGGTGTTCCACTGCTATTCATAAGGTTTTCAGTGACTAAATATTCGGAAGTAATCTATCTTTCCTTCTTTCTAGTCTGTCTTCATCTGGAAGCTCAGCTGAAACCTGTCCACCATGGGTGACCCTGCTGGTATTTAAAATACCCGTGGCATAGCTTTCAGAATCACAACAACATGCAAGCCTGTGTATCGACTCCTAAATTATGATCTGTTATGACTGTTATTGCAGGATTGTATATGTGATAATATTTACTGTTGTTGCCTTTTAATTTTGCATACTTCCCAGTGTCTTCATTTGCCTTGGTCATATTGTGCCAGCCTCCCCTTTATTGTGTATTGCCTTGCCTTTCACCAAGTTCATACATGTCTGCTGTCTAGTTAGTGATTTTCCCTCTTCCCATCCCATCCCTGGTAAACATAAATAATATGTGGGAAGCTTTTCTTGACTTTTGATACTAGTGCTCTCCTACAATATTTGTCTTTTTGTGATTGACTTATTTCATTCAGCATAACGTCCTCCAGGTTCATGCATGCTGTGAGAACTTCTCCTGTCTTTCCAGGGGCTGTGAAGCGGGATTGCACTATCACAGGCTGGTCCGAGCCCTTCCCGCCCTACCCTGTGGCCTGCCCCGTGCCCCTGGAACTACTGGCTGAAGAGGTAAGAGGATCCTGGCTTCTGGGATCCTTCCTGGAAGGTGTTTGCATGGGTGGTGGACTACACACAGTGAGGACCATGGTTCCCTTCTGCAGCCATCATTAGATTGTAATGATGTCACTGCAATTTCCCAGCAGATGGCAGCAAAATGCCAGAAAGAGAAAGATTCTAACTGATTTGTTCCAAGGTTACTCAAAGCCTTGTTTCTGTGTGCTTGGAGAAGAGAGGGGCAGAGGGCAGGTGTAACATGGATTGGTTACTGTCTCAATGTTGTACCCTCCTGCTGTCCAGGCCTTTGAGTGACCTTTTTTACCCTTTCCCCTGAGAAAGTTCCTCCTCCTCTTTGGTGAGTGTGTATGGCTGTGGCTTGAGTCAAGCAAAGGAAATCAAAATCCAGAACCCCAAAGCCAAACCCACTGTCACTGAGTTGATTCTAACTCCTAGTGACCCTATATAGAGTATCTGAGACTATAAGTCTTTCTGAGAACAGAAAGCCTCATCTTTCTCCTACGGAGTGGCTGGTGAGTTTGAACTTCCGACTTTGTGATGAGCAGCCCAGTCCTTATCCTACACTGTCACCAAGTGAACCCCAAACCAAACAACAACACCAAACCCAATGCCATCAAATCAATTTGGGCTCATGAGGGTTCTCAGACTGGAAGCCTTTGTGGGAGCAGACAGCCTTGTCTTTCTCCTGCGGACTGGCTGGTGGGTTCCAACCACTGACCTTGAGATTAGCAGACCAGCACATAGCCCACAGCACCACCAGGCCTTCTGAGAAGTGAGCCCAGAGACCTCTAGCTCCTCTCTCATATCTCTCGCCCTTCAGTCTGGAAAGGTAAGCACAGTCGGACTGTTTTTCCAGATTAAAGTGCTGAGTTTAGAGGAGGCTGAACCCTACAGGGGAACTGGGATTGGAGGAGCTTTAGGCCCCGCTTGCTTCCCAAACTGCACCCTCAGTTCCTGTCTCTGGGGGCAGGCTGGACTTTGATCCAAATACTGAGCAAAGCAAGTGCTTTTCCCTGCCTGCCTGTGGATGTCCCCGGCTGTCCCCTATATTGGGGACACTGTGTTCCTAAACCTCTGAGCTGGATGTTAATAAACAAGCCCAATTTCCTTTTGAGCTTTTGTAATCCCTGGAGACCTGTAATTTCTTCTGCGGCCTCTCCCTACCCCCAAGATCAACCCTGAGCATGAGCAGTCTCAGATTACCCCGTAAGCAAGGTAAGCACAGGATTAGTTGTGCTTACTAATCTGTAGTAAACAATTTCACATTTTCTCACCACATCAAAGATTCAACTTCTAGGTCAGCTGGCCTCTGTCTCTCTTCCAACCCCACAGCACCTTCCTACAGAATCAAAATCTCTTTTCCAATTTTCCATCCCAGATAGGGCAGAGTACCCAGTAAGCAAGATGTGCACAGGCTTACTTGTGCCTGCTTACTTACTGACTTGTAGTGAGCAATTTCACCTGGGTTACCAGTTCATTGCAGACAGTAAGTTATGTTGGGTCACCCAACCCTGAGTATAAAGTTTCTGCAGCCCCTCGCTGCCCTCTCTCTGCAGGCCAGGTGGGAGGCAGATGGGAATCCAGAGCTTCAACGCCTAAGGAGGACTGCCCTTAGTAAGGAGTCACTACCCCCAGATGGGAGTTTCAAGATGCTGTTGTAAATGCTTCATTTGCCCAATTCCTGAGCCTCCCTTTCCTCAAAAGCTGAGGCCCTCTTCTGTGTCCATTCTCCCCAGAAATCTTACTTCTCCATGATGAAGACCATCTATACCATGGGCCACAGCATCTCTGTAGTAACTCTCTTCCTGGCCATCACCACCCTCATGGCTCTCAGGTTGGTATTCTCATCTCAAAATCTCATCTCATCTATGCTCAAGAACCTTCAATGAGTCCCTATTACCTGGAAGACCCAGTCTGATTCCTTGCCTGGATATTTGAGAGTTTCCCAGAGCTAGATACTTTGTCCATTTCTAAAATTTCCTTCCCTACCTGCATCCCCTATCGCTTTATACACAAGAACTCATTCCCAACTCCATACCTCTGCTCCCATGGTTTCTATTTATGGGAATGACTGCCTCCTTCTTTCTCAATGTCTTTATATCTGTTAAAATTCAAAGGCCAGTTCCCAGATGCTTCATAGAAGCCTCTTTGCCTCCTCCAAAGGCAAGGAACAGCTCATTTCAACTATTCCAACCTTCTGACCATCACCTCCTTTGAAGGTCCATCCTGCCGAGTCTGAGCCCTCTACTCCAGCCCCTGACCACACACAGCCTGTGCTGTTCTCTGTCTCATAGAGATGAGTCTCATGAAGATCCAGGAGACTTTCATGGGCAGTACCCTTGTTTCCATCTCTGTCTTCCAGACTCTGAGCTCCCTAAAGTCAGGATCTGTTTTTTTCCACTGTCCCCGCAATGAGACTGAGCTGAGGGCTCTGGTTGGTCTGATGTCCTGTAAAGCTAAAACGGAGGCCTTCAGTTCACTTTACTTCACTTCAACTCAGCTCAACTTCAGTTCAATCCAATCCAACTCAACTCAGTTCACCCCGCAGCACTGTTGAACCCACTAAAGTACACCAGAAGTTCTTCTTCCACCTGGCCTCCTGTTTCTCATCTTATCACCCCCTCCAGGCGGCTCCACTGCCCCCGGAACTATATCCACACCCAGCTGTTCATCACCTTCATCCTCAAGGCGGGAGCTGTTTTCCTGAAGGACGCCACCCTTTTCCACAGCGACAACACGGACCACTGCAGCTTCTCCACCGTAACAGCCAAGGGGGTGGGGTAGGGTGGGTTAAAAACCTAGATGAGACTGTCCATTGCTGACCTGAGACTGGGCCACCCCAGTTCCCCAACAGGGAAGGGCTGTCACTGCTCTGCCCTCTCCCCAATCAGGCCTAAGTCCCTGTGGCCAGAGCAACACGCCAATCAATCCTTGTCGTTCTCCACAGCCCTCTCTCTGCTGCAGACTCTGCAGTCTCCTTTCCCCTCCACGATCTGTGTCCCAGTCTAGCCCTTGTTTCATCCCTCCAAGGAGGGTCTGTGCCTAGGGGTGGAGCTGGGGGTGGGGAAGAGAGAAGCAGACAGGGCTTCCAGGGAACACCATGCACACAGATGATGGGCCTGCCAGGTGCAGGAAGTGGAGAGCTGGAGGAGAACACAGAGAAGGCTGCTGGGAGAAGGTGGCTTTGGAGCTGGGTTGCCAGCAATGACAGGAAGACTAGGAGAGAGGACACATCAGAGGGAGGGACTGATGTGAACAAACTCTCAGAGGGCAGATTACCTGGGCCAGGCCTAGGAAACTGACAAACCAGAATGGGAAAACGGATGGGGAAGATAAGAGAAGAGTGAAAACAAAACAAAAAGGAAATTGGGCAGAAAGCTGAGGCCCAGCTGCTCTAAAACTGCAGAAAACAAACAGATAAGTGAGTGAACATACCAGCCAATGCCCTTAATTAATGAATGAAATAATGAATAATAATAATATACATCAGGCCTTTATGATGTGTCAGATATTTGCACTCAGTGATTTATGCATATTATCTCTTTAAATCTTCAAATGGTCTGAAGAAGATAGTCTGTCCTGAATCCCCTCTTGTAGAGAGAGACTGAGGTGCAGGGAGAGACCCTGGCATTTGGCTTAGTGTGGTGCAGGGCGCAGATGGTGGCCCCTCTAAGTTCAGAACCACCCTCTCAGAGTTGCTGGTGATGTGCACAGGAAACCTGGAGGAAGGCAGGGTCCTCAGGAACCAGCTCATGGCACTGAGCTGCGTGTGATTATGCCCTTCCATAGCCCCAGCTCTAGGGATGGACAGTGGCTGGCTCGAACTGTTAGCATGTTTGATTGCAAACCAAAATGTTGGTGGTTTGGGTCCACCCAGAAGTGCCTTGGAAGAAAGACCTTGGCCATCTATGTCCAGAAATTCAGACATTGAAGGCCCTGTGAGCACAGTTCTACTGTGACATACATGGGTCTCCATAAGTCAGAATCAACTTGAGAGTCACAGGTTTGGTTTTGGTTTTAAGGATGAATTTTAAGGAGCTCAGGAAGGATGGGGTGGGTGGGGAAGGCACAGCAATTCTTACAGTTTGTTGTTGTTAGGTACCATCTAGTCGGTTCGGACTCACAGCGACTCCTGTACACAACAGAATGAAACACTGCCTGGTCCTACACCACCCTCACAGTTGTTGTTGTGTGGCCAAGTGTCACTCCATCTTGTTGAGAGTCTTCCTTTTTATTTGTTTATTTTTTTGCTGACCCTCCACTTTATCAAGCATAATGTCCCTCTCCAGGGACTGGTTCCTTCTGATAATATGTCTTACAGAGAATTTCCTTTTAATTATTATGACAAAGCCATAAGATGTTGCTGCTGTTGTTAAGTGCTTTTGAGTCTCTTCTGACTCTTAACAACCCTGGATAGGGTTTCTGAAGTGTGACTCAAGGGTTTGAACCACCAACTTTGCAGTTAGCAGTCCAGTGCTGATCCTATAGTGCCCCACTAGCACTCTGTGTTGGTTTCCCTTTTACAGAAGACAAGTTCAGGTATAGTGGGCTTCACACTGCTAATGAGTGGTAGGATTGGAACCTAGGGTGTCTGGATCCCCAAATCTGTGCTCTTATATACTACACCATAACACCACACTTGACTTCATGGTGAGAGGCCTGAGTGGGGTGTCTTGGGCAGGGTGCCCAGTGGTGTCCCTGTTCTGAAACACCCAGGCCTCCACCCTCAGGCTCTGTGCAAGGTCTCAGTGGCTGCCTCCCATTTTGCTACCATGACCAACTTCAGCTGGCTGTTGGCCGAAGCCGTCTACCTGAACTGCCTCTTAGTCTCCACGTCTCCCAGTGTGCGGTGCCCTTTCTGGTGGCTGGTTCTTGCTGGCTGGGGTGAGCCCAAAGGCTGTGTTTGGGTGTGGGGAAGGAGGAAGAGGGCTAGGAAGGCCAGAGAGCTCACACAGAAGTTCCTTAACTTATTGATGAAGAGCTGAGGCCCAGAGAGGGAGAGGACAGACCACAGCTGCACAGCAATGTGTGGGGAAGGGAATCAGGCCTCAGGCTTTCCCGGGCCTTGACTGCATGGCTGGCGAGGGGTGGGAGCAGGGTGGGACTCAGAGTCTCCAATGCAGACACCTCATTCATGTCCCCTCTACGGTCCACACAGGGTTCCCCCTGTTCTTCACCATCACCTGGGTGGGCTGCAAGTGGGCCTTCGAGGACATTGCGTGAGTGTGACCTGTAAGGGCGTGGAGGGGACAACTGGGGAATTTGGCTGCTCTCCAAATTGGCAAGAAGGGAGAAGCCTTGGGTTCTACTTTCAGGGAATTAACAGGCTGGGGTCTGGAGGAGGTCTTGGAAAGGGCAGAGAGAGGAGGGCTGAGGGTTTGGGGACTGAGGGCCCACAGGTTGTAGATGGAACCGAGTGAGGGTCTCCTGAAAGAGGGGAAGTGTTGGGTTCAGCAAGATAATAGCAAACCCAAGTTCATCCATCTCGAAGGAGAGATGTACGTATGGGTGCTCCTTTGAAAGTGGGGCGGCTAGTTGGCTGAGAGAGGCGATAAGGCTGAAGGGGACGTGGGGGTGAGGTCAGAAGACTTGAATGCTGGAGCAAGGAGAGCCAGCCTGGAGGCCAAGCGGCCATAGAGATGAGAGGAGGAAGAGACTGGGACTTTGGCATCCTCCCTGATTTGTTCTCTCCCCAGGTGCTGGGACCTAGACAACAGCTCCCCCTACTGGTGGATCATCAAGGGGCCTATCATCCTTTCAGTCGGGGTCAGTCTCTGAGGCCTGTACCCTTTGTTTTATTCACTCAACCTCCCTAGTCCACCAAGGAGCTGACCACAGCAGGAACCACAACTCTAGGCTGGAGGTCAGGAAGGCTGGGTTCCAGTTCTCGAGGACACCCTTTATGGGGTACCGCCAGGGGTTGGTCTTGATTATCACTCAGGCCGCTGACAACTCGGAGTTTTGATGGTTGTGGTAGGTCAGGCACTACTGCAGCTAGAGGAGACGGTGCAGATAGGTGGGGTCCTACAGGGAAGTCTGCTCCCACACACAGCAAGAAACAGCTCCAACTGATGGCATGGCTTCAGTGACAGCCGGAAGTTTTTTTAGCTCAGTATTGTGTAAACTGAAGGATACCTAATTTATACCAGGACCTCAGGACTGGAGAAGGTGGGGACCTGAGCCCACCCTACTCTCCAAGGCTTGCCTGTGAGACCTCTTGATACAGGGGGAGGAGTAGTTCTGAGTGTCCATCCACCTACCCATCCCCATGTATCCAGTATTTGGGATTTCTAATCCCCAAAGAAGAAACACTGGTGGCTCTGTGGGTTAGGCATTGGACTGCTAACTCTAAGATCAGCAGTTCAAACCTGTGGGAGAAAGATGAGGTTCTCTGCTCCTGTAAAGATTACAGATACTGGAAATCCTATACAGAGTTTCTGTGAGTCAGAATCGACTCAAAGGCAGTGGGCTTTCATCCCCGGAGAGGTTGGGTCCCCTCTCAGGTCATTCCAGGCTAGCTTCTGACTTGTTTTCCATCTTCCTTCACTTCTATTTCCAGGTGAACTTTGGGCTTTTTCTCAATATTATTCGCATCCTGTTGAGAAAGCTGGAGCCAGCACAGGGCAGCCTCCACAACCAGTCTCAGTACTGGTACTTGTACCGTGTGTGTGTGTGTGTGTGTGTGTGTGTGTGTGTGTGTGCGTGTTGGGGTTCTGGGGACAGGCAGTTGGAGAGGGGGGTCAATGATGAGCCTAGCCCCACACTGCTCCCTGTATCTCCAGAGAGAGATTTGATCTCTGCCTATAAGGAGCCACATAGCACAGATGTGGGCAGGGATTTAGTTTTATGGTAGAATGCAGGTATGGAGAGTGAATTAAGGTAGACTTCCAGGAGGAAATGGTCTTTGAACTGACCATAGGATTTTGACTGGGATAAACTGGGATAAGAACCTATTTGGCGAGAGGAATGGAGGGATCCAGGGTCCAGAAGTAAGGGGATCCAAGGTGTGTGTGTGGAGAATGAACCCCTCCAGGGTGGCTGATACACTGAATGGAAAAGAGGATGGGGTGAGAGGTGAGGGTGAGTAGGGACCCCTAGTGGGAGCAAACTTTGAAGGATTCCTAGGACTTGTCCTCTCCTGCAGGCGTCTCTCCAAGTCAACACTTCTCCTCACCCCTTTGTTTGGAATTCACTACATCATCTTCAACTTCCTGCCAGACAATGCTGGCTTGGGCATCCGCCTGCCCCTGGAACTGGGGCTGGGCTCCTTCCAGGTGAGAGACCTTCACAGGTCCTGCTTCACAGAGACCTGGGTCACAAAGGAGGTGCTGCTACCCACAGGTCTTGGTTGACAGGTCTTGGTGGGGTGAGGATTATTAGGTCAGTTATTCTTTCATTTGCCTACCTGTACATCTATTCAACTGTTCATCTGCCGGTCTATCTTCTATCTGTCCATCCGTCCATCCATCCATCCATCCATCCCATAATCTACCCATTCATCCCATCCATACATCCATCCAGATCTATTCACCCATCTACCCATCCATCCATCCATCCATCTATCCATCATATTCATCCCATAATCCACCCATTCATCCCATCCATCCATCCTATTCACCCATCTACCCATCCATCCATCCTTCTATCTATTTAACCTTTACTGAGTACCCATTATCTGATAGACTCTGTGCTCAAGAGATGCAGAAATAAAAGTGTCAGATAAATGAAACCAATAGAAGAGTTGTGGTGATCACCTTCTGTGATGATCACATTAGACACTATGTGTGGCACACAGTAATTATAATGTACCTGAATTCTCTTTTTGTGTAGACCTGATCCAAGCCATAGCCTGGATGTGGGTGGGAGAGAGGTTGTAGACGTCAGACAACTTGAGTTGAGACCAACATGTGTCATCGAGTCTGTTCTCTTTGGTCCCACAGGGTTTCATCGTTGCTATCCTGTACTGCTTCCTCAACCAAGAGGTGTGTGAGTCTCCAGGTTCCCCCTTACTCATCAAGCCCACCCCTCCCAACAGTTCCAAACCCTCTCACTCCTTATTAGGCCCTGAAGACCCTAGCCCACACCAACCTGTCCCCTGTGATCCATTGCGAAAAATCTGGCCTAAACTCCTGGATCATCCTGAACCTGAATGCTTCATGGAAAGATATTTTATCCACCCCTCTACTTGGATGGACCAAGTTATACTGTCCACTCACCAGGTGGTGCAGGAGGCCTGTTAGGGGTCAGGAGAAGGATCTGTAAGTGGGGTAAATAGATTACCTAATTTTATGCTCCTCCTGTGGCGCTGTGGGCTAATGCATCAGACTGCAAAGATGTTTGAACTGCAAGGTTGGTGGTTCAAGCTCACCAGCTGCTTCTTGGAAACCCTATACAGGGTTGTTATGGGTCAGAATCAACTCGATGACAATTCAACAACAACAACAACATTAATCATAAAGGAGAGTGAGTAAAGGATAAGTGATCTGGGGGACAGACTTTCAAAGAGAACAGACATAGGAACCAACAAAGTCAGGGCCCCAGAGATAAACAGTAATTTGCAGAACCAAAGAGCAGGATCCAGAGCAGAGTCTAGGAAACTGATGGCGAGTCGCTAGAAGAAACACAGAAACCAGAGCCAGCAGAAGGGAGTGGCACAGGAACCGATGGACTAGATGGTATCAGTGCTCATGAAAGGTGGCAGGGACAGAAAACGTCCCATCTAAAGGACGCCTGAAATGTCCCATCCAAAAGACACTGTGCACTTTTCCTTCAGGACAGACTTGTTTTGCAGGGGAAACAGTTCCTTGGTAGACTTTAGCTCAGTGCCCCAAATCCCCTCAGCCAGGGTCACGGGCTCCCTCTGGTGGTGATGGATTTTCCGCTGGCTCTGCGACCTGGTGTGGTGCTGTGGGCTAATGCGTCAGACTGCGAAGTCATGTGAACTGAAAGTCGGTGGTTCAAGCTCACCAGCTGCTCCTTGGAAACCCTATACAGGGTCGCTATGGGTTGGAATTGACTCGACAGCACTTAACAACAACAACTGTGATCTGTCCAGGGAGCATGGTGGCTCTGTAGGATAAGCACTGGACTGAGAGCCACAAGGTTTGAGCCTACCAGCTGCTTCACGGGAGCACAAAGAGGCTTTCTACTCCTGCAAGATTTACAGCTTCAGAAACCCAGAGTCAGACTGACTGGATGGCACTTAACAACAACTGCAAAGTGCCTAAGACTTAGTTGCCTTCAGTGGATCAGTACCTCCATGTGACCTGCCACCTAGCTCCCTCCTTTCTGACTCTTCTGTCTGTGTCTTATGCCACCTTATTTGGTGTCTAGGATGCAGACAAAAATGCAACATTTGGGTATCATGGGAGCAGCCCTTGCTGGGGCTGGTACAGTCTGTGGTGGGATTTCCAGAGAAATCTGTGATGAGTTCTATCAGGAAGCAATTTTGCTTATACACCTCTGGTGACCAGGAACTTACTACCTACCCAAATGGCTCTTTATGTGGTTAAGTAGCTGCGAGAAAGTTCCTCTTCATGTTAAGTAAAAATCTGTCTTCTGTTTACTTATCACCACAGCCTTACCTCCTTCACATCTCTAGAGCAGCCCTTTGGAGGTGTGGAGATGCTGACTGGTTCCCAAAAGGCCATTTTTCTTCCCTTCCCCCAATCCCCTCAACTGCAGCTCCCCAGACAGCATGCTCCTTCCTCTGACCAGACCCTCAGGGCAGGTTTCCAGTGGCCACAGTTCAGCTCACAGGCAGAGGTCAGCATTGAACACCAGGACTGGGAGGGTGTAAGTCTAGAAAGAGAGATGTGCAGAAGTTATCTAGCCAGGAACTCAAGAAGTCATCCCACCCATGTCTTCACTGATAAAGGGCCAAAGGAAGTGACCAGAAATGCTCACAGAAGGAGGAAGCCGTGTCTTCCAGGGACAGAATTTAGTAGTGTCTTCTCCGGCTTGGTCTCTGTTTCTCCTGCGTGGGCTCTCCCTGCACCTACTGTCTCGCCCAGGTTGAGTCGAGAAGCAGCTACAGGGCATTTCTGACATTTTCTGTCTTGTCTATGAAGGTGAGGACTGAGATCTCTCGAAGGTGGCATGGCCAGGACCCTGAGCTTCTGCCAGCCCGAAGGACTCCCACCAGATGGACAATGCCATCCAACTCGGGGGTGAAGGTGCTGACATCTGTCTGCTAGGCTGGCCACTGGGCACTGCACAAGTCCACACCTGAGCTTGGGCAGCTATGATGGCCCGCCATCCTTCAGGAAGCCAGAGAGACCTGCATGCCTAAGAGCCCTCAACCCCCAACCTTCACCCTGCCCACAAGCAGGGCAGGGGCAGCTCTGAGTCATCATTCTTCCTCCCAGACCTGGGGCTACAGCCCAAAGCCCACGGCTGCCCATGGCTGTGTAACTGACAGATATCTGGGTGAGGGAATGAATGGGAGAAATTCTGCATCTTCTATCTGGACTTCAGGTACCAAGAGCCCTGTCTCAGTCCTATCTCAGTTCATGTCACGCTTGTCTGTGCATGGGCCCTCTCTGATCTGATTTTATTTTAAAAAGTATTATCTTTTAGCCTTACTCTTCATTCCTCCTGCCCAATAGGCACCTGTTCCAATGTGTTTAATGTAAAGATGTATGCTGCTGTGTCTTCTTGCAAAGTATGTAATGTTTACTGCATCTCTTTTATTCATTTATATAAATGGTGTTGGTTACATGCCTCATCCTCCTCTTACTAATGTTTTCCCCTCGCTCTGTTTTGATGAGATCCCCACTTTGCTGTGTGCGCATCTGGTCCATTGTTTCTGACTGCTGCAAGGGACCATGGGGTGTCATCACCCATATGATTCCCAGCCGGTCTCTCCTCCCACCACCACTGCGGTGACCATTCACGTTCCTGACTGCTCGTGGACCTGTGAGGGCTTTTCTCTGAGACACACACCCGGGGCAGAAATGCGGTTTAACCTGATAAGCAGTGCCAGATGGTTCTCCAGAATGAATGCAAAATCCACCCTCCTACCAGCAGCTCTCGAGATTTCTCCATCCTCATAGTTGCACTGACATTCGGTGAAATCCAGTCTTTTAGTGTTTGTGAATCAAATGGGTGTAAAGTGACATCTCATTGTTGCTGAAATGTGCATTTCTTTGATAGCTAAAGAGTGGGAGCATTTCTGTATCTGTTAGTCTTTTGAGTTTACTCTTCTAGAAATTGCTTGGATCCCTTTTTCCATTTTTACCCCCAGAGTCGAGACTGCTGAGCTCTAGGTCTTGTCCTTATGTGCACCCTCCTATACCCTCACTTGCTGCCCCCCACCCAAGGAGGCTCCATCCCTCTCCCACCATATTCTGTGGCAGTAGAGGAGAGGATAAACCCTGGTCACTGCCCTTGAACAATAATGGGTGAGTGGGGAAAAAGGGGTTTCTGGTACAGAAAACAGGCAGAAATGGATGAAGGTCAGAATCAAATCTCTCCCTTTCTTTGCCTGGAGACCCTTTGTGGTGCAAACAGTTAACACACTGGGGTGTTAAAAAGAGGGCATTGGAAGGAAGGTTTGGTGAGCTACTGAAAAATCAGCCATTGAAAATCTCATGAGGCATAGTTATACTCTGACATACATGGAGTCCAACATGAACTGAGAGCAACTGGGTCATTTCTGGTTCCTTCCTTGTCTATCCACAGTCCTCACAGTCCTGCAGAACTCATTCCACTCTTCCGCTTCTAGGACGAGTTCCCTCTCAATACCAATCTTCCATGTCCTTCTTCCTTTTTCCCCACTCTAGACTCCAAGAGTTTAAATCTTCCTCTCAAACCCTTGCCCACCTGTATGGATTGTTGTTGTTGTTGTTAGGTGCCATCGAGTCGAAACACTGCCCGATCCTGGACCAACCTCACTATTGTTGCCACGTTTGAGTCCATCGATGCTGCCACTTGGCCAATCCATCTCGTTGGGGGTCTTCCTCTTTTTCTCTGACCAAACATGATATCCTTTACTAGGTGCTATTTTCTTGTCTAGGTCCTAGTCTGGGTTCTTCCCCTCTCCATGAAACCCTGAGTGGCGACTTTCTCTTCTACACAAAGAATCTGCTTTCTCTTCTACTGCCCTGGGCAAGGTCCATATGCCCTATGCACTGGGGACAGAAAGAACGGGCTTTCTTTCCTCACAATGTATGGATGTGCAAGGCCACCAGCATGCAGCAGGTGGTGGAACTGATGAAGTCCACCTCCTTAGATTCACGGGGGTTCTGTGGAAGGAGACACAGCCATATGAGACCCAAAACCAGGTGCCCAACTATCCAGATGAATGTCCTGGCTAGAGAAATGTCAAGGGGTGCCCCCAGTCTGGAGAGCTCATTGTTCATCCCTTCCTGTAGTCCCAGATCATAGAAGTAATTCAGACTCATTGGAGCGCATTGGAGAAATACCAAAGCAAATAAAACCAAATACATTATGAAATTGATTCCAACCCCTGGCCGCCCCATGTGTGCAGGTGGACTAGTGCTTCTGCTACACAAGGATTTCAATGGTTGTGGCCTTTTAGAAGCAGACTTCCTGGCTTGTCTTCTGAGAAGCCCTTGGGTGGGTTGAAATCACCAACCTTTTAGCTAGTATTTAAGCACAAGCCGTCTGCACCACTCAAGGGCCTCATTCATTCTCATTGCAAGGCATTTGAGAGATATGCCAAACCCCAAACCAAATCCACTTTATCAAGTCCATTCTGACTCATAGCGACTCTACAGGACTGGGCTGAACTGCCCCATAAGGTTTCCGAGTTGTCAGTCTTTATGAAGTAGAATGTTCGTTCCATCTTTCTCCCAAGGAGTGGCTGTTGGGTTCGAACCAAATACATTTTGGCTAGCAGTCTGATGCTTCATCCACACACAACCAGGGATCATTTTGAGAGATATAAACAAATATCCACTGCTGTAAAGTAGATTCTGATTTATAGTGAGCCTATAGGACAGGTTAGAACTACTCTTTAGGGTTTCAGAGACTTTCCCTTGTGAAGTGGCTGCTGTGTTTGAACCACTGATACTGTGGTTAGCAGCCCAATGCTTAACCCATGACACCACCAGTGTTCCTGTTTGAAAGATCTTGTTGTTAAGTGCCTTCAATTCGGTTCTGACCCATAGCAACCCTGTATAGGGTTTCCAAGGAGCACCTGATGAACTTGAACTGCCGACCTTGAGGTTCAAACTGACTTTGCAGTCTAGTGCATTAACCTACAGGGCCACACCAGGTTCTGTTGTTGTTGTTGTTAAGTGCCGTGGAGTCGGTTCCGACTCATAGCGACCCTGTACAGGGTTTCCGAGGCTGTATATCTTTATAGGAGCAGAAAGCCTCATCTTTCTCCCGCGGAACAGCTGGTAGTTTCGAACTGCTGACAGTGAGATTAGCAGCCCGATTCATTACTACTACGCTACCAGAGCTAGAAGTACTTAAACAAAAATCATCCATAATCTCATTATCCAAAGAAAGTCACTATTAATTCTTTGTATATTTCCTGGAAGACTTTCTCTGGATTTTTGAAACATGTTGAATCTGTTTATAAATTTTATGTTGGTTTCTAAAATTAATGCATGTGAAATACACTTGAACTATAAGCACATGAAAATGCTCAATATCATTAGTTACTATTGTTGTTTTAGTGTGGTCGAGTCAGTTCTGACTCGTAGTGACCCTGTATAGAATTTCCAAGGAGCAGCTGGTAGGTTTGAACTGGCGACCTTGTGCCTCAAACTGACCTTGCTGTTCAGTGCTTCTCTTACAGTGCCATACCAGACTCCTGGAAATGCTAGACCCTGGAAATGCAACTGAGAACAACTGAGGAATGTTTGCCTATAAGGGGGCTTCCACTCATAGATTTAAAGAGAGAATTTAATTCAAGAGAATTAATGTTCTTTGAGTCTGAAGGGACAAGGTTAGGGCTGAAGGGTGGATGGGGTGAGATTTCTCAGTGAAATTCTCTCTGGACAGCCCTTGTCACCTTTGAAGAATGAGCAGGTACATTGTCATGGTGGGGAAAAAAAAGTACAACTTTCCTGCCCTTTTTCTTACCAACGCAATTTCAATTTCCTTAAAACTTCAGAATGTGCCGCTCAGGGTGGCCCTTTGTCCTTTAAGAAACACTGTCGCTATTATCTCTGTGGATCCTCAAAACCCAGTCTCCTTAACATTCTGAACTGAAACAGCAGGTCACTTAGGAGGTCATTGTTTTGATTGGATTGTTTAAAGGCACCCTAATAATTGATGCTTTTGAGTTATGGTGTTGGAGAAGAATATTGAAAGTGCCATGGGCTGCCCAAAGAACCAATAGATTTGTTTGGGAAGAAGTGCAGCCAGAGTGCTCCTTGGAGGCCAAGATGGTCAAACTTCGTCTCTCATACTTTGGACATATTGTCAAGAGGGACCATTTGCTGGAGAAAGATATCATGTTTGGTAAGGTGGAGGGTCAGAGAAAAAGAGGAAGACCCCCAACGAGATGGATTGGCCAAGAGAAGGCATCGATGGATTCAAGCATGGCAACAATAGTGAGGTTAGCCCAGGATCGGGCAGTGTTTCGTTCTGCTGTGCATAAGGTCGCTATGGGTCGGTAGTGACTCGATGGCACCTAACAACAACAACAATGAGATTAGCCTGGTGTGGCACTGTGGATTAATGCACCAGACTGCAAAGCCGTTTGAACTGCAAGGTCGACATTTCAAGATCACCAGCTGCTCTTTGGAAACCCTGTACAGGGTCGCTATGGGTCGGAACCAACTCGACAACACTTAGCAGCAACAACGACAACAACAAGACTAACACGAATGTCTTACTGAGAGAACTTGTCTGCAGTCATCCACTGGCCAAAGAGGCATGTTTAAGCACACTTTGTTTGCAATAAACCTTTGCCTGTATGAACTAGAACCCTAGTTGTTGTGAAGTGCCGTCGTCGGTTCCAACCCATAGCAATTCTGTATAGGGTTTCTGAGGAGCTGCTGGTGAGCTTGAACCACCAACCTTGCCTTCGACTTGACTACAAAGTTCAAACAGCTTTGTAGTCTGGCGCATTTACACAGCGCTACACCAGGACTCCTAGTAGTGACACACACACACACACACACACACACACATACACACATATACATAAGTTAACCCTATATTAAGTCTTATAATACCTATTGGTAACTTGCCTCTTAGAAAAGTTGACCTATGG